GTGCTGGGATTGGTTATTAATGTGGTGATGGGTTGAGGGTAAGTATGGTTAGGGTGCATGGTTTGATGATGATTTCATTCCAGAGGGGGTCATAACACTTGGACATTATTCCACTGATTTCCTTAAGGACTTGAGGGTGATTTGTGGTGCTCTGGGATATATCATCCTCCCCGTCTTCAGAAAAGTTTGTCCTCAAACTAGGAAGTTCTTCAGGGTCAAAATATGGACTGAGATCCTTAACATTGAATGTAGCAGAAAATCCGTAATCTCCTGGCAAATTGACTTTGTAGGCGTTGTCGTTGATCTTCTCTAAAATCTCGAATGGGCCGTCGGCTCTTGGTAGTAACTTGGACTTACGTTTGGCGGGAAAACGCTCTTTCCTTAGGCGAATCCAAACCAAGTCACCGGGCTGAAAACTTGTGAATTTTCTTCCTTTGTTGATCCTGTTACTAACTTTCTCATTTACCGCTTCAATCTTCTCTCGAACCTTTTCATGGAGCTCTTGAATTTCCTTGGACCGTTGATCAGCTGCCCAACTGTATTGCTCTTTTCCTACGATGGGATCAAGCTCAAGTGGGGTGAGGGGGTTCGAACCATAGACCACCATGAACGGGGATAGCCCCGTGGTCTTGTTTGGGGTTCGGTTATAGGAAAACTCGACGTGCGGCAGTAGCTCTTCCCATTGCTTGATGTTTCGTTTGATTAGAACTCGAAGGAGAGTTCCAAGCGTTCTGTTGGTGACCTCGGTTTGTCCGTCAGTTTGCGGATGGCTAGTAGTGCTGAATTTGAGCTTTGTGCCTAGCTTTCTCCATAATGTCATCCAAAAATGGCTAAGGAATTTGGGATCCCTATCAGAAACCATGCTGCGAGGTATGCCATGGAGTTTAACGACCTCTCGGAAGTAGAGATCGGATACTTGGGAAGCATCGTATGTAGTAACGCAGGGAATGAAATGGGCCATCTTTGAGAATCTATCCACAACCACCATTATGGAATCCTTGCTTCGTTGAGTTCGGGGCAGCCCAGTAATGAAATCTAGGCTAACATCTTCCCACGGGGCATACGGGACGGGTAAGGGTAAGTGCATTCCTTGGGGTAGGGCTTGGGACTTTGCAAGTTGACAAGTGTGACATCTCTTGATGAAGTGCTCGACGTCTCTCTCCATTTTGGGCCAGAAGTAATGCTCTTTCATCATCAAATAAGTCTTGTTGATCCCGAAGTGACCGGCTAGTCCACCACC